GGAAAGAGTCACTTAACCTATTGGAGACTCAGTTTTCTCATTTGTAAAATAATTGGTGATCAAATGAAATAATGTACATGGGGACTTCCCTGGTGGTGTAGTGGCTGGGAATCCACCTGCCAATGCGGGGGACGGGGGTTCGACCCCCGGTCTGGGAGGATCCCACACACCGCAGAGCAGCTGGGCCAGTGTGGCACAACTACTGAGCCTGCGCTCTAGAACCCGTGCTCTGTAGCAAGAGAGGCTACCGCAATGAGAGGCCTGCACACCGCTGCGAGGAGTGGCCCCAGCTTGCCGCAACTGGAGAAAGCCCATGCGCAGCAACAAAGACCCAATGCAGCCAAAAATAAATAAATTTATAAAAAAAAAAATAATGTACATGAAAACTACCTAGTAACTATGGACTTACCCTAGCGATTTGAGTTATTACAGTCAAGAATGAAACTTGGTGCCCAACTTCTTGCCGTTTTCCACCATCCTCAGGCCTTGTCAAACCTGGAGTGAGGAAGCTGGGCATGAGAGTCAAGCTGTTCTGTCTCCCCTGCAACAATGTTACCCTCAGTGAGACTGTACAATCCAGTGGTATAGAGCGTGGCTCTGACATCTGGCTGCCTGGGTTCAAATCCCAGCTCCTTCACTTATTAGTTATTAGTTATGTGACCCTGGGATAAGTTACCTAACCTCTCAGGGCAGATCATGTTACATCCACCTGCTCGTGTTGGTGAGAGCATTAAGAGAGATGCTGCATGTAACGTCCTTGGCACAGAGCAAGAGCTCAAGAACTGTTAGCCATCATTGTTGTTATTATATGAAGCCCGTGATGAGGGGGTGAGGGCTCTGGAAGGAGCAACAGGGCCCTGCCCTCAGAGTGTAGTCCAAGGGGATGTTGGACAAACACTCCTCAAAGCACCATATGGGAACTGACGATAGGAAGAAACCCTCAGGCCATAGTTGGCAGCAGCTACACAGCCCAGGGAATAAAACACAGGTACCCTGGTCTTGTCACTAACAAGTCTTTGACTTTGATCCTCTCTGAGCCTCAGTTTCCCCATCTATGAAATTAGCCCTTTGGACTGAATACTGTGCTGTCCATTATGGTAAACATGAGCGCCATGTGACTGCTTAATTTACAGTTGGCCCTCTGTATCCACAGATTCCACATTCGTGGATACGGAGGGTCGACTGCACCATGCCATTTTATGTAAGGCACTTGAGCATCCACGGATTTTGGTATCTGCTGTGGGGAAGGGGGAGGTCTTGCAGCCAATCCCCTGTGAATACTGAGGGATGACTGTAACTAAAATCACAATTTTAACTCAGTTCCTCAGTCACACAGCTACATTTCAAATGCTCGGTAGCTTTATGTATTTAGAGGCTATCATATCGGGCCGTGCAGAATAGAACATTTCCATCATCGTAGAAAGTTCTATTGGACAGCACTGGACTAGAATGATCATAACGATTCCCCTTGTAGATTTAATGTTCTCTGAGGGTGGGGATGATTGAAATGACAGACACTGGATGGGGCAAGTTTGGGATCTGGAGGCTGGGAGTGGACACCATTGGAAAGGCCAGGCCCTGGAGAGGGCTGGGGTGGAGAACCGCCTGTAGGTGTGCTGGGTGCTGTCACCAGAACTTCTCACTCTAGCTACTCCACACCCTAGGCAAACTGCGGCATGTGCTGAGCATGGATGGCTTCCTTAGCTACCTCTACTCGAAGGACGGAGACATCTTCAATCCGACCTGCCTCCCCATCTACCAGGATATGACTCAGCCCCTGAACCAGTACTACATCAGCAGCTCCCACAACACCTACCTAGTGGGAGACCAGCTTTGTGGCCAGAGCAGCGTGGAGGGATACATACGGTGCAGTGGGGCCGAGGGGTGAAAGGGTCCAGCTCATGAGAAAAGAACATCTGTGGGAAGTTGGGGGGTGCTGTCAGGCGATAACAGGGATTGAAAAGTTGTCGTGGGGGGGCTTTGGGGCTGAGGATCCCTGGATACCTGAGAGGCATGGAGGAGCTACTGAAGACTGGCGGGAGAGTGGTATGGAAACCCTGTGGGTAAATGGAACTTCTCTCTCTCTCATAGGCTATGAAACTCTCTTGGAACTCAGAGGTCCTGACAGATTTATTGTGAACAAATAAATAAATTAAATGCTAAATGGGAGGCAGTAGAGAAGAGGAGTTAAAAACACAGGTTCTGGGCTTCCCTGGTGGCACAGTGGTTGAGAGTCCGCCTGCCGATGCAGGGGACACGGGTTCTTGCCCCGGTCCGGGAAGATCCCACATGCCGCGGAGCAGCTGGGTCCGTGAGCCATGGCTGCTGAGCCTGTGCGTCCGGAGCCTGTGCTCCGCAATGGGAGAGAGGCCACAGCAGTGAGAGGCCCGCGTACAGCAAAAACAAAACAAAACAAAACAAAACAAAAAAAAAAACACAGGTTCTAGAGTCAGATGATTTGAGATCAAATACTAGCTCCCTCACCTGGGACTATAGGGCTAAATATTTAACCTCTCTATGCCTCAGTTTCTCTATCTGAGAAACAGAGATGATTACAATGCCTATTCTGTCTGGGTTGTTGTGAAGATGAAATGAGGTAATCCATGTGTCAATAGCTAATAAATGGTATCTGCTTCTATTGCAGTTAATCGTGGATTAGAGCAAATAGTCAAGATATCCTTGTAGTGCCAGCAACTGAACTAGTAGCTTCAAGGGATACATGATGAGTGGAACTTCCCCAGGAAGTCTAGTAGAGAAAATAACTGTAAATTTACTGAGTTTGAATAACTCGGGTGTTGTATAACGATTTACAAGCAGAACACCCCAAGGCAGGATGTGATGGCTCGCTAAGGGAGGATTGTGAGTTGGGCGGGGTGGGGGTGGGTGGAGATCAGTGTGAGCTGCAGCCCTGTCCCAGTAGACAGAGAAGGGTCCGTGGAGATGTAGCTTGGTGGAGTCTTGATGGGTAAGTGCCGGTAAGCACTGTTCTCTCCAGGGTGGGGAGAGAGGGTCCCTAGGTGGAAGATCAGACCTTGACCCCTCCTGTCCCTGGGGGGGTGGGGTTCTTGCAGGGCCCTGAAGCGAGGATGCCGCTGTGTGGAGGTGGATATATGGGATGGACCTAGCGGGGAACCTATTGTTTACCACGGACACACACTGACCTCTCGCATCCCGTTCAAAGACGTTGTGGCCGCCATTGGACAGTATGCCTTCCGGGTAGGAGCCTCAGGATGGAAATACTGATGAGGCAAGAGGATCTGAAGGAAGAGGCTCTGGGTCTGGGGGGGGGGGGGGGGGCGGATGGACCTTCCTTCCTGAAGGTCTAGTCCTGCTTGGTTCACCACCATCACAAAAGAGGCTCAAAGCGGTGAGCGCAGAGAACTTGATATTTAGGCTGAGGTGAGGCTTCAGGGATGGAAGATGGGTCCCAGAAGCTCCACATGCAAGACAGGATTATGATGGCGTAGGAGTGGCTGGGGGGGTGGGGGGGGGGGGGGTGGAGGGATGCAGGGGAGGTTATGTCAAATGGCATATGTGTAAAAGAGATTTTAACTGTGAAGCATCAGGCAAATATTAATTAACCCTTATTATGAATAAGTGTTAGATGTGTTACTAGTAGTCATAGAGCTAATTGCTAGAGATTAGTAATTATTACCTCTAACAACTTCTGTCACCCATCTGGGAGAGGGTGGATGAGGAAACAGAGAAAGTCGTGGGTAGAGCTGGGAGACAATAGCAATCTGGAGATGAAAGCCTGAGAGTGTAACATGAACACATAACTGGGGGAATGGCCTGAGCCTGAAAACGCAAAGGTCCCAGAGGGACCTGGGTCAAACCTGGCACAGATCTGAGATTTGGGGTCCCAAGAATGACTTTTAGATGTGGGGTGCCCAGACCCAGGAAGATCTCCTTGAGGCCTGGCATGGGGTTGGAGGACCTTGGCAATCAGGGTACTCAGTTGAGTTAGTAACTAGGGGGGCCTGGAGAAGCAAGGAGGTTATAGGCCTCAGAACTCTGGCTCCAGCATGCCCTCCCCTCCCCATCAGACATCAGACTATCCAGTCATCTTGTCCCTGGAGAACCACTGCAGCTGGGAACAGCAGGAGATCATAGCACGCCATCTGACAGAGATCCTGGGAAATCAGCTACTGAGCACCACCTTGGATGGGCATCTTCCCACTCAGCTGCCCTCCCCTGAGGTAGGACCATGCTCCCCCAGCCCAGGCTCGGCCATGGCTTCCCTATCGCCCCACCTTGGCTCCTTCTTCCATGCCTATCTTGTTCCCTTCTTCTCACCCTCAGATGGACCATCTTACTCTTTAATATCCTTGGAGAGAACTTCAATTTTTAAAAAATCTGATTCAGGGAATTCCCTGGTGGCCTAGTTGTTAGGATTCCAGGCTTTCACTGCCGTGGCCCGGGTTTAGTCCCTGGATGGGGAACTGAGATCCTACAAGACACGTGGCGCAGCCAAAAAAAAAAAAAAATCTAATTTAACATAGAATTCTAGGTAAAGTTCTCTAAATTTAAAATCATTTATTTACTTTATTTTTTTTTCAATGGAAAATCTTTTTTTCTTGATAGTTCATAATTATAGCCTAGCACCCCCACCATAATCTCAGCCTCTCCCATAACAGCTGCCCAAAGATTTTCTAAATGCTTATATAGACATATATGTGTATATATGGTCACATTTTTAAAAACGTGAATGGGATCATCCTTTCCACCCCTTTTATATCTCTTTTATATTGATACAATATCAATATATATCATGAATGTCTTTTCATATATATGTATTTTCTTTTTTTTTTTTTTTCGGTACGCGGGCCTCTCACTGTTGTGGCCTCTCCCGTTGCGGAGCACAGGCTCTGGACGCGCAGGCTCAGCAGCCATGGCTCACGGGCCTAGCCGCTCCGTGGCATGTGGGCTCTTCCCGGGCCGGGGCACGAACCCGTGTCCCCTGCATTGGCAGGCAGACTCTCAACCACTGCGCCACCAGGGAAGCCCTGGAAATTTTTATTTTTGTAGTCTAAGTCTATTTTCCTTTTTTTTTTTTGGCCGCGCTGCACGGCTTGCAGGATCTTAGCTCCCAGACCAGGGAATGAACCCCGGCCACGGCAGTGAAAGTGTGGAGTCCTAACCACTGGACCGCCGGGGAACTGCCCTTGCAGTCTACTTTTTCTTTTTGTCATTATAACATCTTCAGAGATTTTTAAGCTTTATGTAGTCAAATCTGCCAATTATTTTTATGTCTTGTGAGTTTTCATCTCATGTTTTTATTTATTTATTTATTTATTTATTTTGGGGGGGTGGTACGTGGGCCTCTCACTGCTGTGGCCTCTCCCGTTGCGGAGCACAGGCTCCGGACGTGCAGGCTCAGTGGCCATGGCTCACGGGCCCAGCCGCTCCGCGGCATGTGGTATCTTCCCGGACCGGGGCACGAACCCATGTCCCCTGCATCGGCAGGCGGACTCTCAACCACTGCGCCACCAGGGAAGCCCCATCTCATGTTTTTAAAGGCTTTACCACCTTAAGGTTATTCAGAAAGATTCTGTATTTTCTTCTAATGCTCTTATGTTCTTTATATTTACATGTAAATCTTTAATCTGTGAGGAAACTTCATGTGTCAAATGTGAGGTAGGGGTCTGCATGTATTTTTTCCTTATGGATAGAGATGTTACAGGTTCGCTTAATAGGAAATCCCTGTTGTATGTACCAAGCAGCCTTCCTGTGGGAACTTCTGACCACTCACTCACTTCCTGTGCCTTTGAGAGCAGTGGGACCTGCATGATCCCCAGGAGGGTAGACAGGTAGCTAGGTAGACAGGCCCCCTCATTTTTGTCCCCTAGGAGCTTCGGAGGAAGATCCTTGTGAAGGGAAAGAAGTTAAAAACACTTGAGGAGGATCTTGAGGAAGAGGAGGAGGAGCCAGAGTCTGAACTAGAGGAGGCTGAGCTGCAGCTGGAGGCCCAGATGGAGTCTGAGCCCCAGGAGTTGAGCCCTCGCAGTAAGGACAAAAAGAAGGTAGGCCAGGAGAGTGGTCTTTCTGCTCTGGCATTTGATCAGGTGGTACCACTAGCTGAGAGCCTGCATGTGAAGAGACTGGAGCCAGGCAGGGTGGAGGGCCAAGGAGCAAAATGCTCCTTGCCTCCAATGAAAGAGGCATAAGAATGTGTACATAGCATCACTATATAGATTGCCATATATAGATATATTGCAGTGGCTTTCCAACTTCTTTGGGCTGTGAAATCTTTTTTTTTTTTTTTTAAATGAAATCTTATATGGAAGCTCAGTATACAAAATAGATAAATGCAGAGCCCTCCTGGTTGGAGCACCCCTTTGGCTCTCTCCTGGGTCTCTCAGGTGACTTCTGAGACATCTTTGTACTACTTGCCAGTCTCCTTGAAGGCTAGTTCGAAAACCACTGATGGGTACGTGCGTGCATGCGTGCATGTGTGTGTTATATTGGGTAAGTAGGGCTTACTAGAGTGACTGCTGTGACCTCAACTAAAGTGGGCTTAGTTAGAGAAAGCTTCTTGGAAAAGGTGAGTCTGAAGAGGGATCAGAAATAGCCAGAGGAGGAGCAGGAAGACGTGGGGAAGGGGTACCACTGGTGGGACCACCGAGATCCTGCTCTGAAGTCCGCATTTCTCTCTTTTGTGCATTTGCTTGGCTCAGATGACTTCTAGCTTACCCTGTTCTCTCTGGAGCTGTGTTGTCTAACCTGCTGCCATGCCCAGGGATGGAAATGGGAATTCAGGAGAAAAATCTATAGATCTGGGACTCTCACATCCTTCCAGGTGTGATTTCCATGACCATCTGCATACCTTGACGTATCTGTCTCGGTTCATATGCTTTTTTTTTTTTTTTTTTTTTTTTTTTTTTTTGCGGTACGCGGGCCTCTCACTGTTGTGGCCTCTCCCGTTGCGGAGCACAGGCTTTGGACGCGCAGGCTCAGTGGCCATGGCTCACGGGCCCAGCCGCTCCGCAGCATGTGGGATCTTCCCGGACCGGGCCACAAACCTGCGTCCCCTGCATCGGCAGGCGGACTCTCAACCACTGCGCCACCAGGGAAGCCCTCATGTGCATTTTGATAAAAAATTTATTTGTTTTAAAAGATGAGAGGTAGGGAGTATGATATCTGTTTAATAATAATAATAAATTAAAAACCTGTTACTTACAAAGTAATCCTTCAAGCCCAGAGGCTGAAACTGATCCCATCAGTATACATAGACTGCCTTTATTGCCATTCCCATCCTCAGGTTGTGATGTGCCCACTGTTGTGTCCGCCTATGTGTTGTCAGATTATGTCCCAGGCTCCTATTTCCAAGCCTGGGTTCCTTCTCTTTCCCAAGCAGGTGAGGCAGGAGGAAGAATACAATGGGGCGGCAGTGGGCAGAGCCTTAGGTTGGGTGGAGACGTTCAGATCTTGGCCATTGGCTTCTTCCCTCTCAGATTGCTAATGGTTCAATTCCATCTTCCTCTCTACTCTCTCCTTTTCCAGAAATCCAGGCCCATCTTATGTCCATCCCTCTCTGCCCTGGTTGTCTACTTGAAGGCTGTCACATTCTACAGCTTCACTCATTCGAGGGAGCACTACCGCTTCTATGAAACATCATCTTTCTCTGAAGCCAAGGCCAAGAGCCTCATCAAGGAGGCTGGTCAGGACCAAAAGGGAGGGACAGGGAAGGAACTGGAATGGGTTAGAGTCAGGTCTGATGGGCAGGCAGACGAGTCCCAAGAGGATGAGGGAGCGAAGGAGGGATGGTGGAGCCAAGGAACTCCTCAGACCAGGTACGGGGATGGGAGTATTAACAGTGGGCTCAAGGCTCTAGGGGTAAGACAGTTGTGGGAGATGGTCTGCATGGAAGAGAGATAGGCATAGCCTTAGGAGATGCTGCAGAGAAGAATGAAGTGGGTGGGCAGGGTCCTTGAGACCAGGGAAGTGGGAGGATCCACCCCACCCACTACCATCTCCCTACCCACACCCTCTTTGCAGGCAATGAGTTTGTGCTGCACAATACCTGGCAGTTAAGCCGTGTATATCCCAGTGGCCTGAGGACAGATTCATCCAACTACAACCCCCAGGAGTTCTGGAATGCAGGCTGCCAGATGGGTGAGGGGGCAGTAGGGACAGGGAAGAGCGAGTGGAAGAGCTACGGGTAGGAAGTCAGTCCTTGGGTGGCAACGGGGCCAGGGAGTGCTCCGAGAGGAGGGCTAGGCTGAGAAAGATGCTCTCCATCGTGTTCCCTGCAGCCCTTTTACACCCAATATGTCTGTCTAGCTCCATGAAAGATGGGCTGGATGGCCCCCACGGTGAATCTTTCCTTTTCTCCCCGGGCCCTCAGTGGCTCTGAATATGCAGACTGCGGGGCTTGAGATGGACCTGTGTGATGGGCTCTTCCGTCAGAACGCTGGCTCCGGCTACGTGCTGAAGCCAGACTTCCTGCGTGACGCCCAGAGTTCCTTCCACCCTGAGAGGCCCATCAGTCCGTTCAAAGCCCAGACCCTACTAATCCAGGTATAATGGAAAGAGAAACCATTGGGAAGAAACTGGGATCGCTGGGATAGAAGCCAGGGAGGGTGGTGGGTGGAAGGGGTGAGGGGTGGGTGGCTAGGACTGACAGGAGTGTAATGGGGGAAAAGTTCCTCAGGAGGCAGCATGGACTTTGGAGCCAGTTGCCTAGGTTCAAACCCATTTCCTAGTTGTGTAACGTTAGGCAAACTCCTTAACCTTAGTCTCCTCACCTGCAAAATTGGGGTAACAATACTGCCTACCTCTCAGGGCTGCTGTGATCAGTTAATCTGAAGTGCTTACAACAGTGCCTAGGGCATAGTAAGTGCTATAGAAGGGCTGCTGTCATAAAATACCTTTCAAACCTTGCTAAATTTCTACTTGGATGCATTTTAAATAGCAGGTGAGGTACTAGAATATATTACCCATGAGAATTAGCTTTGCAAACCCCAAAGCTATAGTGCAAGGTCCTGTGCCTCCCCCGCAAGGGTGTGAGAGCTGGACGGGGGCTGGGCTGAGCAGGAACTAGTGAGGTTCCAGAGCTCTGGTTGCAGGTAATCAGTGGGCAGCAACTCCCCAAAGTGGACAAGACCAAAGAGGAGTCCATTGTGGATCCACTGGTAAGAGTGGAGATCTTTGGCGTCCGCCAAGACACAACCCGGCAAGAGACCAGCTACGTGGAGAACAATGGTGAGACTGGGCAGTGCTGGGGGAAAGTGGGAGGAGCATGGCTGTTGTTTTCCTACCATCCAGCCCTCCATTAAGCACAGTCCATCACCCCTCCCGCCACCTTCATGGGAGGCAGTGTGGAACCGGACAAAGAATAAGGACTTGGACATCTTGGGTCTGAAGCCAGGCCTCTCACTTACAAGCTCCAGTGACTAAGCAAACTGCTTACCCACTCAATCTCCTCACTTGTAAAATGCTGCTATGAAAATTAAGCGAGAGAACATGGGGAAAGCAACCCAACATGGTCAACAATGTCTGTTCCTTCATTTTTTCCCTCACTTACCCTCCCCCACTCAGGTTTTAATCCATACTGGGGGCAGACACTGTGCTTCCGGGTCCTGGTACCTGAACTGGCCCTGCTGCGTTTTGTGGTAAAAGACTATGACTGGAAATCCCGAAACGATTTCATTGGTCAGTACACCCTGCCTTGGAACTGCATGCAACAAGGTGAGCCAGTCCTCCCACCCCTAGCCCGCACCCCAGCTCTGGCTGCCTTCCTAATACTGTCCCCCGCCCCCCTTTCCAGGTTACCGCCACATACACTTGCTCTCCAAGGATGGCATCAGCCTCCATCCAGCCTCCATCTTTGTGCACATCTGCACCCAGGAAGGGCTAGAGGGGGTTGAATCTTAAGGTGGGCACTTCACGGGAAGAGTGGGTGCATCGGCTTTAGATGTTAAGAAAAGCCTGGAAGGATGCTCCAGAAAGCAAACAGAGGTGGTGAAAACCAAGCTTTGGACTGTGCATTCTTAGGCACAAAATTACTTCATCCTTCCTGACAAGCAAATCTAGGACCTGATTTTTCACTTTCTTTTCCCTTTCTTCGTTTTCACCAGCCTTTGGTATCATTCCTGTCCTTACCCTCTGCATACTCTACACTTCCTCTTGCTATAGGTTCAATACCATATCCAGATCTAGGACTATACTTTCGCACCAACTCTGGCTCAAAGGCAGATTGCAACTAGAAATCCAGAGAAGGGCTTGGGGCAGACAAACCCTAAGAGGCACTATCTCCTCCACCTCTAACTTCCTCAAAGTCCAGAGCCAAGGGAAGGACAAATCAAGCCCCAAGGCTCCCCAGGCAAAGGCTGGGGAAGGAGATCTGACCCCAAGACTGTATTACGACCGTCAAGAAAACACTACACAGCCCTCAGAGTCTCCACTGGACTGCTGCTCCCTAGCCCCTCTGGTATAAATAGAGCTTCTCTCTCAATTTGGCTTGAGTACAGTCTCATTGTTGGGCAAGAAGGGGAGATATGAGGGTTGGGGGACATTTGGGATAGGGAAAAGGTGGAAAAATAGGGTTTCCAGGGCCCCCCCTGTACTTACTACAAGTATGGCTTCTAAGGGACAGGGCAAAACGAGGAGACAAAGAGTTATGTGATCCCAGCCCTCCTAAAGAGTATGCCTGGAATAGTCCTGGTTTATGTCTGGTGTCTCAGCATAATTATTAATAGTACCCTCTTCCATTTTCCCAGTGTGTCCCAGTTTAGATGATTAATTATACAGTCACTGTGAGGCACTGACAGAATCCTGGGTTAGAGATTTACCTTCCCAGTTGTCTGTCTTTCACCCTATCCTTGTGCTTTAACTCTAGCGCAGCAGCTGAGCCAGTCAGGATGGTGCCGAATTAAAGCTGCTTCCATGAGGAGGCTTAGTGGGTGGCAATCCTCCCTCTACACGTAGACAAAGGGACTCAGAAAAAGGGAGCAGGGCAAGGGCTGATTCAGGCTTGAGGACAGAGAGAAGGCAGGCCTGGGTGTTTCAGAATCAATCGCTCAGTGAAGATGGAAGGAGACAAAGGAGAGACAGAGGCCTGAGAGGGGACAGGGCAGACTGAGATGACAGCCTGGCAGTGTTAAGTCAGGGACTTGGACGAATCTATATAAGCAACTAATCATTTAACCATGCTTTATAGAGCAGTGGGCACAACAGCACATGCGGTTAGATACAACTGTTCTGAGGATGCTGAAAGAAAATAGGACTTGACGTAGTAAGAAGGAAAGAGAAGATGAAATGGGTAAACCACAAATCTTATAGCCAGGGACTCTGGTGGTGTGACGGTGAAGAGATTAGGAACTCATGGGTTAAAAAAACACAATGTGCCTCAACAGAAGTCAATCTGTGGTCCAGGGCTCTCTTTTATATCAACTTCCAAGTACTACAGCCAGAGTCCCAGGAGGGTTCCAGCCTCTCTGACACCCCGAAGCCACGCCTTTCCTCTGGTCCTGAGCTCCTCAGGCTAGCTCTGGTTCCAGTCTGCACATCTGGGCCCACACCCTCTTCTTGTCGGGAGGTGGGGGAGGCCCTCAACCCTCAGGTCCAGTGGGGGGAGCAGCAGGAGCAGGGGGGCCGGGATCCTCCAACTGCACGTCATGTAGGTGCACCGTGGGCATGGTGGGGTCCTTGCCCACGCCTTGATTTGGGTCAGCCTGGTCAGGGTGGTGCCTGCGCACGTGCTTGACCACCTGAAATTTCTGCTTGGCCTTGTAGCTGCAGAGGCGGCAGAAGAAAGGGTGGCGGTCGGTGTGGGTGAGGGCGTGATGGCGCAGGCCGGCAGCCCAGCGGAAAGCACGGTGGCACACGTTGCACACGTAGGGCTTGGCCTCGCTGTGCTTGCGGAGGTGGGTGCGCAGCAGGAAGCGTGTCTTGAAGGCCTTGCCGCACTGCTCACACATGAAGGCCCGTGCTTCCCGGTGCCGCGTCTCCTGGTGCACGCGCAGTGCGTCGGCCCTGTTCGTGCAGTACTCACACTCGGGACACTGGTATGGCTTCAGTCCTGTAGGACAGGGCAAGGACAGGGAACACATCACCACTGAAGGAGGTGGAACAAGGATCACTGGACCAGAGGAGTCACTGTGATCCTGGGACATAAGGAACACAAGCAGCAAACTAAGGACCACGTCTTTGGAATGTTCCAATCCTGTCTGACATTGGTGTGTCCTATTCCCAACATAGCCCCTTGTATACAGTGGGTGCTCGATGGATGCCAGTAACTAACTGGACCCCTAAGTAGCCAACTGACAGCAATAAATACTCAAATATGACAGGGTTTCTACATGGGGAACTCCAACCCGTTTTTGGTCATGGAGTACTCATGGAATTGGAAATCCATTGAAATGGATCCCTTGTTCAACACAAGAAGTAAAAGAAAATGCTTAAGAGGGAAGCGGGAGAGGCAAAAGAAGGGGTAGAGGCAGAGGGCCTTGAAATGCATCTGGTTAATTCCTTTACTTGGGGTGGGGGGCCATAGGCAACAATCACAGGCACACCATCATTAACCCTTCTCTGAGAACCTGTGGTTCATGGACTGTACCCAGGAGAAAAAAAAAGGACAAGTTAAAACAGGTGAGGGGGACTTCCCTGGTGGTGCAGTGGTTGAGAATCTGCCTGCTAATGCAGGGGACACGGGTTCGAGCCCTGGTCTGGGAGGATCCCACATGCCGCGGAGCAACTAGGCCCGTGAGCCACAGCTACTGAGCCTGCGCATCTGGAGCCTGTGCTCCGCAACAAGAGAGGCCGCGATAGTGAGAGGCCCGCGCACCACGATGAAGAGTGGCCCCCGCTTGCCACAACTAGAGAAAGCCCTTGCACAGAAACGAAGATGCAACACAGCAAAAATAAATAAATTAATAAACTCCTACCCCCAACATCTTCTTAAAAAAAAAAAAAAAAGCCCACAGTCATCTTGATAATACTGTATGGGGCCTCTGATTCTTTCATTCTTTAAACAAAACAAAACAAAACAAAACAAAAACAGGTGAGGGACTTCCCTGGTGGCGCAGTGGTTAAAAATCCCCCTGCCAATGCAGGGGACACAGGTTCAAGCCCTGGTCCGGGAAGATCCCACATGCCGTGGAGCAACTAATCCCATGCACCACAACTACTGAGCCTGTGCTCTGGAGCCCATAAGCCACAACTTCTGAGCCCACGCCTAGAGCCCGTGCTCCGCAAGAAGAGAAGCCACCGCAATGAGAAGCCCTCGCACCACAACGAAGAGTAGCTGCTGCTCGCTGCAACTAGAGAAAGCCTGTGCGCAGCAATAAAGACCCAACGCAGCCTAAATAAATAAATAAATAAATAACAGCTGAACCCTCTACTTTCTCCTCCTCACTCATGATAGTTCCATCCTGTCTCTGTAGGGACCAGGCAGACCTGCTCAGTCACTCATGTTTGAGTTGGAGGTCCTCAACCAGAGGTGGGTGACCTTGTGCCATAATACCCCGGGAAGCTTTTGCAAAGTACACATGTCCAGACTCTCAGGTTCACCACTCTCCTGATTCTGATAGGCTTTCAGTGGGTTGGGAAGGTATTCTGGCTTTTCAGTCTACCTACTACCCTTGATGTGAATACAGCTGTGCACCCCGAATCTCAGTAAGGACATACACCACCTCAGGGAGGCTGGGTGTGCTAGTGCACAGGGGAACCCCTCGGGCCTGTCAAAACCATGCAGACTCACCTGTGTGCTTGGTCATGTGGTACTTGAGCTGGTTGACCCACTTGCACTTGTAGCCACAGTCAGGGCACAGATACTTCCGCTCCTCCTTGTGAATCCGCATATGGTACTGGAGGAGGGAAGAGCAAAGAGTACACCCAGAAAATGTGTACCCTTTGGTACTCACTGGATGTGGAAATAGAGCAAGCAGGCAGAGAAACTGTTGGCAGAAAATCCTGTTCCCTGCACCGATCCTACCCATTCTCCCCCACTGCCAATCAGGTCTCCAAGGCCAGTCACTCTGACGCAACCCTAACCCATTCAGCCGACCCCAGGTCTGCCCTATCTCACCTCTGCCACTTATTAGCTGTGTCTTTGGGCAGCCTTACCCCTAATTCTCAGTTTATTAATCTGGAAAATGGGAAACAGTAAAAGTATATCTCATATTTTTGAAAGGATTAAAATTAGTGTCCGACATACAGTGTAAGTACTCAATAAATGTCAGCTGTTATCATCTAGGTTATCTACAACCTATTACACGCCTTTATCACAGGCCAAGCATGTATTACGGAATTTTATCTCTGTAGCAACCCTATGAAGTATTATCCCCTCTTCACAGATGAGGAATCTGAGGTTTGGAGAAGTTAAGGGACTTGACCAAAGTCACAGAGCTAATTTTCAGAAGAGTCAGGATTAAAGAACCCAGGTAGTTTAACTCCACAGCCTGCATTCCTTCCATTCCCAGACCCCCTAGCCCCTGACCTTACCTTGAGGCGAGAGGGGTCAGCACAGGCATAGGGACAGAGGTGACAGCGGTAGGGCTTTTCCCCAGTGTGGACGCGGCTGTGCCAGGTGATCTTTTGCCGGTTCTTGGTGCTGTAAGCACAGTCAGTGCACTTGTAGAGCCGGGTGCCCCCGTGCCCTTTCACGTGGTGATCTAGCACCAGCTGATGGCGGCACGCAAAGTCACAAAAAGGGCAGCGCAGAGGGGGCTGGCCAGCATCCCCAGCTGAAGATGCCGCTGCTGAAGTCTCCTCATGCTGCTCCAAGTAGTGCTTCACCAGGCCCACCCGTTCCCGGGCAGCAAAGTCACAGAGCTGGCAGCGGTGGCTGAAATGCTGCTGCCTTCGGTGCTCATCCAATGCCGGCCGGCTGGGGAAGGCCTCCTGACAGGCCCCACATTCGAGCCGTGGGTGCTGTTTCCGGGTGTGCCCTCGCAGGCTGGCAGGGCTGGGGCACAGCAGCCCACAGCGGGAGCAGTGCAGGGGGCCTTCAGTGGCCTCTGTGGGAGAGCCAGGGACAGGGGGCGTAGGCTCGGGATGCCGGCGCAGAGCATGCTGCTTGAGTGCTGTCTCGGAGCTGAACTGGGCCTCACACTGCGGGCAGGCAAAGGCTGGGGTGCCCTGGTGGCAACTGTTAACGTGGCGAGTGATGTCATGGCGAAGGTAGCCACTATAGTCACAGAGTGGACAGAAGTGGGTGGGTGTTTTGTCGTGTACCCTCAACCGGTGCAAGCGCAGTTTTGAGTTGGTACCAAACGTCTGGGGACAGGAGCTGCAGGGGATGCGGCCAACACCTGTGTGTCGGGACTGGTGAGCCTCTAACCGGTACCGTCTGGTGGTGGAAAAGTCACAGAAAGGGCACTGATGTGGCTTCACCCCCTCATGCTTCAGCCGCCGGTGCTGCTGTAGGCACCGGCTCTGTTTACAGGTGAAGCCGCAGTCCCCACACTGAAGAGGGGGCCGGGGGCCATGGGCTGCGGCAGGGTGCCTCCGCTTCTGGTGGAGCCTCAGGGCAGCAGCAGCAGGAGCGGTGAATGGGCAGAGGCCACAGCGCAGCTCTCCAGACTGCTCGAGGGAGCAGCCCCGCGTCTGGTGAGTCCTCAGGGCCCGTTCCTGCTGGCAGCTAAAGGGACACGTGGGGCAGGAGAAGCGAGCCCCCTTCTGCTTTGGAACCAGAGCTGCATCCCCATCACCAGGGCTGTGCTCTGCACTCCCACTGCTCAGGGGAGCAGAGTCCCTGCTGCTCAGCAGGGACACAATAGGCTGGGTCTGGGAGGCGCCTCGCTTTCCTCCCCCGCCACGTCCGCCCCGGCAGCCTTCAGCCACGTGAGAGGTAATGGAGGAAAGCCGAGAGCAAAGGAACATGCATGAGTTGCAGTGAAACTTGCCCTGCTCAAAGTGGAACTTCTCAGGGGCCTCTGTGGGCGAGGAGTCTTCTGCAGGAGGGACTGTGGAGCCAGAGAGTGTGGCAACAGGCTCCTCTGTGTCTTCTGGCTCCCCAGGAAGCTTGGGCGCATCTTTTGGGAGCATGATCTCTGCTTCTAATCGTGCAGGTGGGGGCTTCCCACCGGCTGCATCCTCTGAGGCCGGTGTGCCTGGGGGCTGAGGATGCAGAGGGATGGGTGAATCTGGTCTGGGCAAGCCCTTGCTCTTTCTGAGGAGAACAGGGCACTTCTTCAGCAGATGGGTGCTGAGGCCACGCTGCTGCTTGAAGCTGGCTCCACACTCAGGGCAGAGGAGGGGCTCTCGGTGGCCCTGGCACCCAGTCCTGGAGTGCAGACTCAGGGCCTTCTCCCGGCGGGTGATGAAAGGGCAGTGTGGGCAGCGGAAAGCCCGCCCCTCTCCCTGTATCACTACCATCTGAACCCGCCCCTCCAGCACCAGCGCCTCTGCCTGTTCTTTGTCCTGCCTCCTTAGGGCCTTGAGTAATGACTCTGATTCAGGGAACTGGGGCAGGGGTGCTGTCTCAGTGGGTGGATTTGCCTTGAAGGTTCCCACCCAGCTGTTAGGGGGCTCCTCTGAGGAAGGGGGATTTATAGGGGGCTCAGAGACTGGCTTTTCCAGAATGGACTCTTCAGCACCCAAGCCGGAAGTTCCAGCACCTTCAAAGGTAGACAGCTCTGCCAAAGTTCCATCTGGCCCTTCCAGTCTCAGAGGCCCTGAGGGATCCAGGGGCCTGAACTCCACAGGAGCTGTTTCGGTGATCTCTTCAAGGGGCGGGTTGGCCACAGGCTCCAGCTCCACTCCCAGGGCCTCTAGGTGTAGCGTGCAGCCCCCCTCATCTACCTCCGCCGGACTGGGGCTGCCAACTAGGTCATGCCCCTGGGGAACCTCACCGCCGTCCTGTTTCCCAGCACTGTCCTCCTCACTGGTCTCTGGCGGGGCCTGATCCAAGCTGGGGTCCACCACCGTCCCTGGGTCATGGTCTGGCCCCTCAGGCTGGGCAGACAGCTGACTTGAGGGCTCTGAGTCTGGTGGGGGTGTTGGGCACTGCCCGGCTCCCTCTGGCTCCTGGCTGGCACGGCAAAGCTGCCAGACCTGGTCCCCGGGCACGTAACCATGGGCTTTGCGCTTGTGGAAGAAGAGGGCGGTGTTGCTGAAGGTGCGATAGTCGCAGAGGGCACAGTGGAACTCTCGGAGGCGGGTGTGCTTACAGTTCTCATGGCTCAGCAGGGCTTGCTTGTGGCGGCTCTGGTAACTGCAATAGCGACAGGGGTAGAGTGGGGCGGCCGCGCCGGGGTGGTGCTGGGAAGCCATGTGCTTCTGCAGCTCATACTTCCGCTTGCAAGCGAAGGCGCACACCTCGCACATCAGGGACTTGCCCTGGTGCCGCAGCTTGTGGCTGCTCAGCTGATCAGCCCGGTGGCAGCGATAGGAGCACTGGTTGCACTGGTATCTGGTGAGGAGGGAAAAATCACAATCATAAATTAATCACAGCAACTACCAGTAACTGTATAAATACCTACTATGGGCCAAGCTCTACACTCAGTGTTGTACATGCATCATCCAATTTCATCGTCTTAGTGAGGAGACTAAGGTACAGAAGTTAGTAACTTGCCTCGAGTTACAAAGGAAGTGAAAGGCAGACAGTCTAGCTTCAGGGCTTGTGTTCTACCCGCCACTCTACATTGCTTCCTAAAGGGAAGGTATCATGAATCAGTCAACCTCTGTGGACTTCTGAGGAGCTGACAATGGCTACAGCCCCACGGGGCAGGTTTCTGTGCCTAGATCCCACTCTCCCACGGAGACGTGAAAGCCACGGAGAAACCCCCTAGCCAGCTGTGCCCACAGGTCAGAGGGGAACTTGCCTGGATTTGGACGTGGCCAGGATTGGAGCCACAGGCGTAGCCCATCTACTTCACCAGGACTGGACTCAGAACTCAAATGACACCTTAGTCTCTGGGCCTCTACTCTGGGTCTACACCCCCTTCCCTGAGCCCAGAGAGCTCACACAGTGCAGACTAGGCCACAGGCAGAGGTCAGCTAGAGGCAGCGGAGCCGAGATGACAGGAGCAGAGGGCCGTGCGGAGGAGTCTCTCTGGGGCCAGAAGAGAGATGGGGCCGGAAGCTGACTTTGAGAGGCGCCTAGCTTAGCTCCAGGTCATTGGGTTAGGGAGGGAGGCACGCGTGTGCTCATACCTGAGGTCGCCTGCGTGCTTCCGCATGTGCACGCTGAGGTAGTGCTTCCACTTGGTGACGTAGCCGCATTCGGTGCACATGTAATCCTTGGTGTTGGAGTGGGTCAGCATGTGCTTGGACAGGTAGCTCACGTCTCGACACGTGAAGTCACACAGCTCACACTTGTGTGGCTTCTCGCCTGTGGGGATGGGGGTGAGCGGGGAGAGAACACAAGTCAGACACGGATCAAGGGAGTGACAGACCGTCCTCCCCAGCAGGCTCGCTCTGATGCCCAGCAGAAGTGGAAGCTGAGGTGCTATTCGCAAAAGTCAATGCTGCCTCACAGCCCTCTGGGACGACCACTCTTCCACCCTGACGCCAAGGAAGGTAGGGGGAAAGCGAAGACCCAGCTTTTCAAAAGTAGCTTCAAAGTCCATTCTGGATTTGTTATACAGCTTATTGGCACTAATGGTCAACTGCTCCACTTAGCCCAATTCGTTCCAGTTTTGTGGAAGAGGAGGAGAAAAAATTAGGCAATACAACATAGTGTTAACAACTCTGACTCCGGAGTCCAACACAGTAATAAAGATATTAAGAGCCGACATTTATACTGTGCTCACTACGTGCCAGGCACCTTTCTGAGCACTTTATAAAAATGCCTCCTTTTACTGAATCCTCACAACAGCCCTTTATTACCCCATTTTACAGAGGAAGAAGCTGAGGCACAGAGAAACCACAGAGCTATTAGGCAGTGGTTCAAATCCCAGTTTACTACTGTTGTGTCCTCGGGCAGGTCACTTAACCCTCTAAGTCTCAGTTTCTTGGTCTCCAAAAAGGGGGCAACAAAAATACTGACCTCACATGGCTGATATGAAGATTAAAGGGCTCAATGACAAGCTGTCCCTGTACATTGGTTGAGATCTAGCGCTAAGAGGTGAGGCTGGGGCCATGTTCTTTCAGGACCATTCCCTGTTATCCCTGCCCACCCACTCAGCCCCTCTCCTTATGGTGAAAGGCAAGCAACGTGGTGTTCTGGGTCTGCTTCTGATACCAGCTGTGTGATCCGGAAACAGGCCATTAAAATGTTCAGCATTTCTCATCTTTACCTGCCTTTCTTACAAGATCGTTATTATGGATTAAATAAGATAATATATATGAAAAAACTATAAAGCACTACACAAGCATACCTCAGAGAGGTGGTGGGTTCAGTTCCAGACCACCACAATAAAGCAAATATTGCAAGAAAGTGAGTCCCACAAATTTTTTGGTTTCCCAGTACATGTAAAAGTTATGTTCACACATTGCACGGTAGTCTATTAAGTGTGCAATAACATTCTAACAAAACAGTGTACATACCTTAATTTAAAAAATACTTTATTGCTAAAAAATGCTAACTATCACCTGACAATGCAGGGTTGCCACAAACCTTCGATTTAGGAAGACACAGTATCTGCTAAGAACAATAAAGTGAAATAAAAAAAAGTATGCCTGTATAGATGTGAGGTTTTAAGAAGCCTCAGAAAAATGAGATTTTGTGACTAAAGCCTGTATAGAAATGAACTGTTTAATGGAAACAACAATGGCTTTGCCACAAGGTGCCTAAAAACTGTCCTCCCAAACTAAAGAATCTTTGATGAGATTTTTTAATGTCTTGTCAATCCACCAATGCTTACAAAGAGATCACAAATGGGAAGATGCTATAGCAGGAAGCCTGGTTTGGTTTTTACTCAAAGAATCAGTAATGCTGGTAACCAATTAAGAGCCTGAGTTGAAAACCCTGCAACTTTCAGGTCACCAGATGTGATCATGTTTCAGTGTCATGGCCTTCAAGGCTATAATATATATGGATGGCTCAGTTCCCTCACCCGCTATCTCTCACAGCACATCACAAAACTTGAACTGCAAAGGAAGGTATCTGTCCTGGTCTGGGTTTCTTTGCTTTAACAGGCTGGGTGTTGACCCACCCATGCCTGATTAGGGGTGGGCAGAACCCGACAGGGCTTTAAAGGTGAGGCACGGGACTTCCCTGGTGGTCCAGTTAAGACTGCACTCCCTGTAAGGCGCCTGGATTCGATCCCTGGTCAGGGAACTAGATCCCACATCCCGCAACTAAAAGATCCCGTATGCCTCAACTAGAAAGATCCCACATGCCGCAAATCCTAGCCCGACCACTTTACTAGCTGAGTGACACTCAAGGCTTATTTGTAAACTGCAAATACTAGATTTATCTCTAGGAACACTAGGTCAGATGAGTCCTACACAATGTACGCAAAGCCCTCCGGGTGTCTGACACACAGTAAACGCTCCCGTTTGCCATCATCACCACTATTACATGGTTGGAAGGGTGGAAGCCATCTCACCGGTATGCAGCAGCATGTGGCGGATAAGCACCCTCTTGTGGGCAGTGGCAAAGCTGCACTCAGGGCACTGATGGATCTTCTCATGAGCATGCATCTTGCCCACATGGTCCTGGTAGGCCACCGGGTTGAAGGTAGCAAAGGGGCAGAAGGTGCAGCGCAGCTCTTCACTGCCAGGGTGGCCCTGCTTCTTATGTTTACGGAACAGGTGCTTGTTGGAGCAGGCGAAGTCACAGTGGGGGCAGTGGAAGGCATAGTGGCTTTTGTGGTGGGCCTCCATGGCTTCTGCTGTGGCGAAGAGCATGGGACACGAGTGATGGCGGCACTCCACAGCCCGCACACCGTGGGTCTCCTTCAGATGCTTTACGAAGGCCTTGCGGTCAGGTGCCGTGTAGCTACAGCCCTCCTGAAAGCAGCGAAGGGGCAGCGGCTTGGCTGCAGCTGCTGCGGTGTGGCTCTTGAGGTGCTCCTTAAGGGCCTGGCTGAGGCGGAACTCCTCCCGGCAGACAGGACAGGCATAGGTATCTGAGTAGAAGTTGGAAATATCCTCATGCATGCTGGCCATATGGCGGTTGAGGGCATTCCTCTCCACTGCACTGTAGTGGCACAGTGGGCAGCGGTGGGCCTTTTGGCCCAGCTCCCGCAGCAGGTGGGTCTTGAGCTTGCTCTTACTGGTGAAGAACTTTTGGCAGTTGGGGCACTGGAGACTGGGGTCTGGGAAGTGGAGATGTAGGTGCTCCACCAGATGGGTCCGCTTCTTGAAGCAGCGCTTGCATTCTGGACACATGTGGGTCTTGAAGAGGGACTCGGTGCCAGAAGCCACAGCTCCTGGGAGAGGGAAAGGCAGGGAGGGTTAAGAGTGAGATTCTTCAATAGGTCAGGGGCTGGCCAGTTAATGGGAGAACCACAATTTGCCCAGACAAATTATGCATGCATGCATGGCTTTGTTCCTTTCTTTCTAGGAAACCAAACATCTCAAACTTTGTAGCCTCAAAGAAGAGAGAAGTCATTCAAGTATTTAGAGAAACAAAATCACAAGGACTTCTCAGACCTTGCTGTGACCTGTAAGAAGTGCTTCACCCAACGACGCACTATTCTTAAGCTTTTATCTAGAAAGGGTCAAAAGAAGACCCTTGATGGAGCATTCTTGTTCTTCCTGTCCTTGACCCGGAGGGCATGCAGAAGAATCAGCAGGGTTGGTTGGAAGGAAAAGAACCCCACAGGGAGTGAGCAGAGGGAAGAGAAGGTAAAGTACTCCTACTTCTGAACCCTGGGGGCATAGAGAGCTGATAATAAATATAATCAGATCCTCCTGGTCACCTGACGAACTCCCCACTGTGGGATGGGTTTCAAATGCTGTTCTCCTCAGATGGAAAACTGGGAAGCAAGGATTCAGAAAAACAACCTTAGGGGGCTCAGTGTCAGACAAGACAGGCTGCCAGTCAAAAACCCCTGGCATCTTCATACTATGAATATCACCCTCCCCCTCCTCACAAAAGAGCTTTCTGCCTGGGGAAAACCAGCCCGGAGAGCAAACTATTTACTCTTACCCCGTGTCTCCAGAGTTATCACTTTCCCACTAGACATGTCAAAGTGGAATGTTAGGAACGGAAGGATCTGAACCAAAACTCAGAAAACCAAACCCCAGAGCCTCAATACCCCGCCCCCCACAGTCCGTTCCTCCCCACCACCAGGAGGTTCAAGCCCCATCACATCATTACCCTCCAACCGCTGAGGCCCCTGGCCTTTCTCCAGGGCTTTCTGGGAGATCCGGCTGCCACTGTTCTCTTCTTCCTCTATGTCCTCCTCTTCAGCTGACTCCTGCCCAGGCAAGGGTGCTCCTCCTTCCTCTGAAGGCTCTCCCTCTCCTGGGGACACTCTGAGAGCTGAAGATGCAAAGAATTTGATGACTAGAGGAGCCAACGCAGGGCTGAGTGCCTGTACTTCTCACCTCCCACCATTTAGCATAAGGGAACCTGGGGTTCTAAGTATATTAATTTATTCCCACACAAGACAGGGATAGGAAGACCAGGAGCTAAGCTGTCAGTGATGCTCCAGTCTGAAGTAAATCAAACCTTAGATAACACCAACCTCGGACCCCTTGAAGGCAAGATCTCTGCGGTCACTGCAGTGGGGGGAGGGGGCAGAGAGGTAGAGAACGGGCAGACTAGACTGTTCTTCCCTGGCTCAGGTCCCCAGGGTTAACGGCTGGTGGCTCAGTGTGGGCAAACATCCCCGACCTCTAAGCTTCTACTGAGAAACCCAACTCGGCAATTCAGGATCACATCCTGTGCTCTCAAATCCATTCCTTCTCTCCCTCAGTTAGAGGCAGCGGCCTCAGTAAGGCAAAGATGTATGACTTTTTCCCAGGAAAGAGGAATCTTCTCTTTGTACCAGAGTACAAATCAGTCTTAGTGAGCCAAATTCTCTCATCAGAACCCTGGCCTCTCCTGGCCTGGCTTCTCTATTTCCTCCTGCTCCTCCGCTCACCCCACACTCTTTTTGAGACCAAGAGGAATAAGAATCATTGAAGCACCACCTCCCTTGAAGGTTTCTTTTTAAAATAACCCCAGCTTCTCCTGCCCAATCCCACTTGCTCTAACAGGGAGTCTACAGGCATTCAACCAATGGCTACAGCCACTGATGGGCAGTTTAGCTTCTGCCCTCAGAAAGTTCTGAAATGGACCAGAAGAGACATTGGTTAAGTAACTTCAAGGCCACAGTGTAGCTTAAGCCAAACTTCATTCATTGTCATGGACAAAGACTTCCTCTTTGTCCCATATTTTCTGCCTGGTCCGGGGTGTCTAGATGCCTTCCCACATCAGCCAATAATCCCGTCCTCCTGCGCCACTACCCTGGATTCTCTTCAATTCAGGCTTACATTCATGGAATTATTAACAACTGTCTCTGCTACAGACCAACTGCAGCTGCAATCCAGGCAGGATACTGCTGGGTCCTTGGCCTCATACCTGGCAGCAGCTCCTGCGATAGAAGACCCTGAACAGCAGACAGTTCTCCCTGTGTCCCGGCCCCGTGACTCCGCTGATGCTGCCGGAAGAGTTTGATGTTGGAGCCCACGAAGCTGCAGTGGTTGCAGTGGAAAGGGTAATGGGCCTGCCGGTGCAGCTCCATGCCCTGCTGGCTCCCGAAGAGCAGGGGGCAGCCCCGGAAAGAACAGGGCACGGGAAGCGCTCTGTGGGTCTGCCTCAGGTGGTGCTGTAGACCCTTGCGATCTTGAGCAGAGAACACACAGCCAGACTCTGGGCAGGAGAAGGCGTCTGGAGTGCCCCGGTGAATCTTGAAGTGGCTCTTCAGGGCCTGGGGCTGGGCAAACTCCTGTCTACACACAGGGCATGGCAGGGGGCTATCTGGTGGGCTCTGGCCCTGCAGAGGGCCAGGGAGAGTGAGGTTGCTGGGGGGCAGCTCTACAGAGCAGGGGGGGCTAGCGAGGCCCTGCACAGGCTGTATAACGGTCTCAGTGCACTGGTGCAGGGACAGCAGAGTGGGCTCTGCGAAGCTCTGCTCACAGCGCTCACAGAAGTACACCTCCACCACCTTTACCAGGACACCTGCAGGCAGAGGACCGACAGAGAAAGGCACAGAATCAGACGGAACAAGACTCAGAGGAGTTAGTTACCAGTAGAAAATGTAGGTAAATCTTTTAACATTCATGGAATGGAGGTGGACTTAAGTCTGATTCTACACCTTAAAGTCTGATTTTCAAAGCCCCCTAAGGTCAAAGATGGTCTATCTTGCACGTGTGTTTGGATTCCCAGTATCTTGCACAATACTTGGCACAAGGTAGGTACTTCATAAATATTTGTGAAGTGAATGTAACAAGTATTAACCAAATCCAGAAAGCATTAAGAAAAGGCGATATGTTTTGCCCAAATAAAAAATTAGAAACTTCCAAGAAGAAAATGACAATCTGAGGAAAATATCTGCAGTATACATGACAAAGCGTTACTTTTATATTCCGTGAAGAGATTTTCAAAGGCACAGTAATTTATAAAACGGAGGACATCCTTTCTGAGATGAGCCAGATCACATTCATAATAATTGCTGCCATTTTCTTTTTTGATAACTTTTATTTTTATTTTTTAAATCAATTTATTTATTTATTTATTTTTGCCTGCATTGGGTCTTCGTTGCTGTGCTTGGGCTTTCTCTAGTTGCGGCAAGCGGGGTCCACTCTTTGTTGCAGTATGTGGGCTTCTCATTGCAGTGGCTTCTCTTGTTGCGGAACACAGGCTCCAGGCGCATGGGCCTCAGTAGTTGTGGCTTGTGGGCTCTACAGCACAGGCTCAGGAATTGTGGCGCATGGGTCTAGTTGCTCCACTTGCTGCCATTTCTTAAGCAACTGGCAGGACCTTGACAAAGAAAGGCTTAGGAAACACTTTTGCTTGGTCCTCCAACTGCCCTATGAGAAGAGGGACCTGGGATGCTGCAAGGTTAAGGCCACCAGGCCTGTTAATGGTGGAGCCCAGGTCTGTCCTACATTTATTCTGGTGGTTCTTTTTCTCTGTATTATTTTTTTGTTTAAATAAAAATTCAGTGCAACAATAGAACTATATAAAGAATAACCACCTCCCAACTACACACACATAATTTGGTCTATATCCTTTCAGACCTTTTGGGGTCATTTTTTGGCAATTTGCTTTTCTTTTAAATTTATTTACTTATTTATTTTCGGCTTTGGGTCTTCGTTGCTGCGCGTGGGCTTTCTCTAGTTGCGGCAAGCGGCCTTCTTATTGCAGTGGCTTCTCTTGTTGCAAAGCATGGGTTCTAGGCGCACAGGTTTCAGTAGTTGTGGCTCTCGGACTCTAGAGCGCAGGCTCAGTAGTGTGGCACACGGGCTTAGTTGCTCCGCAGCACATGGGATCTTCCCAGACCAGGGCTCGAACCTGTGTCCCCTGCAATGGCAGGCGGATTCTTAACCACTGTGCCACCAGGGAAGCCCCGGATATTTGCATTTTAAAACATTATTTTCACTTGCTCTATATCAAGGATATTTTTATCTATGAGTAGGACATTTAGATCTACCTAATTTTTTTTTGTCCAGTTCATGGTACTTCAGAGCATGGGTAAATCAAAATGAAATTTTGCTCTTACTGATAGATATCTGGGTTGTTTCCAACCATTACAAATAAAGCTGCCCTACACATCCTTATTCCTGCATCCTTGTGCATGTGTGTGACTCTTTCTATAGGACAGATCCCTAGAAGAGGAACTACTAGGTCAGAGTACATGTCTTTTAAAATTTGTTTCATGGATAAATTGACTTTCAAAAACTTATGCTAATTTATACTCTATAAACTATAAGATACTGTCTGTTTCCCCATAGCCTCACCAACACTAGTTTTATAAAAATTGCTTAATTTCTGCCAAAGTTGAGAAACAATAATGAAATCTTATAGTTAAACTGGAATTTGTGTGTTAGTGAGATTAAATATACTTATGGTTATTAACTATTTTCATTTCTTCTTTAGTAAATTGCATGTAGATTTCTTTTCTCCCTTTCTAAAAAAATACTGTTTCTTTTTCTTATTGTGGAGCTCTTTCAATTTTAAAGATATTAACGCTTTCTTATATGTTGCAAATTTTTTATATATTGCAAATGTTTTTCCAGGTTCCTTTTTAATTTATTTATTATTTATTTCACCACATCAAAGTTTAGAAATATTATACAATCAAACTAGCTAATCCTTCCCAGTACTCTTTGTACACTACCAAGGAAAAATGGTACAACTGTAGCTGAAAGACGACAGTTACAAAACAGGGAAGTTACCGAAAAATAAGAAGTTGAGATGTGGGAAGATTAAAGGGGAGACTCTTTCTTCTAAAGTAAATATAAATTATTCAACTCCCACTCTTAATGGCATGCCTTGGGTGATTTAAGTATGTTATCCGCAAGAAACTAGAGCAGGGAAATACTGCTAGGAAGCCCTGCCAAGCCCTTGGAGAGAGGCTGGGCCTTTTGCCTAATTCCTGGCTGCAGTTCCTGGGTGGGAGGGTCAACATGGAGAAAAGAATCCTTGAGGACTATAGGAGTAAGGACTGGGCAGAGGTGTCAGAAAGGTCTTCCCTTCTGGATTACCGTCTAGCAGACGTGAAGCCCTCGCAGGGATAGACTGCCAAGAGCTTGGTAAAAGTTGTGCACCACCTCGCCAGACTTCAATCAACATTCACCAACTGCAAATCAAATTACAACATCTCTAAGTATAAAAATAGGATGCTACCTTGTGTCTTCATCATGTTTATATACAACGATCAAACACAGCACAGACAAAAACTCAGGGTTGCTTGTCTCACTGGCCTGCTAGCAACTGTGTTGGTACCTGGGGTCTCTCCAGGAGCACCTGGGGACAGGTTTCCAGCTACTGCTTCCACAATGATCTCCATGTTCTCTGTGTCCTCTTCAGTTGCCGTGGTTTCTACCAGCAGGCAGCCTGGGTCAGCAGGCAAAGGTGGAGGGTTCCCAGAAGGACAGGGGCTCTGGACAGGCTCTAGGAGTCCACGGTTAGACAGAGGTCGGGGGATCAGCAATAGCTCAGGGCACAGTCCATCCATCTCCCCAGTGCTGTTGGCTGGCTGTGAGTCCAACACAGGGTCTGTCATCACCACCAACTTGTGTGCTATGTCCTCTTACGTGCTGATAAACCAACCAGAAGAAAAACCAAACAATATATAATTAGATCTCTCACTTTCTTCCCACTTGGTGTGGGTGCACAGCCCAGTGCCTGCCCAATTAGGCATTTCCTTGCATGGCAGCATGCCATACGCAGTTAACCTAGAAATTTTCTTTTTATGACAATGTTTAGAACAAAAAGCATAAACATGATAATAGGGATAAAAATAGGAAAGAGACAAGAAGTTGTAGCCAATATATTAAAGACTGTTTCTTGGAGCTAAGTGATGTTGGTCAAATCACTAATCAATCTGGGTCTCAGTTCTCTTACCTGCAATAAAATTGGGTGGGACCAAGGGATCTCAGAGGTCCCCTCCCCTCTTAACATTTTATGATCTCACTATTCCTTAGCTCAAAGCCCTTCCTTCAGGGGTCAGCCCCTGCTGACCTCTCCAGATTCATCTTCCACCTCTCTCCGCAAAAGATCTCTGAACTGATGATTCAACTTGTCATTGATTTGCCATTCCCCAGACTCACCACATTCTCTTCTGCTTCCATATCCTTACACATCCCTCTCTGGGCTTGATGGACCTTCTCCCCTTTGCCATCTCTCTTGTCTGGCTAACCAACTCCTAACTATCCTTTAAGAATCTGCACAAATGTCACTTCCACTAGGATGGCTTCCGGACACCTTTCATCTAAGTTTCTCTCTCTGAGGTCCTAATGGCACATTGTACATAGCTCTGTCAGAAACTGTGTCACACTGCACTGTCATTTACCTATCAGTCTCCCTCCCTAGACTTGGAGCTTTCTGAGTGGAGTTTATTGATGTTATCACTTCACTAAACCACAACAGTCTATGCAAGTCAGACAAATAAGGGAATTCTAGTGAAGAACTCCAGACACAGAAATGCATCAAAGCAAATTTAGGCTTCTACTAAGATGTCAAATCAGTGATGCCTTACAAGTTAACACACCTGGAGAAATTTCTAACAAATTGACTATGGCCTCACATTGAACACTGGAACACAACTGAGAGATGAATATCAAGTAAATTGCATATCTTGTTATACACAGCTAAAATTAGTCTAAGCTAAATAACTAGGAATTAATAAGAATGACAGTAATCATTTCATGAAATTGAGTCATGGAGGTCAAGTAATGGCCTAGTGCTAGGAAATCAGGTTGCAGCTGAGAATTCTGCAACTCAAAGCCTTAGATCACGGAAATTCGTAAGGTGGCAGGGCAGGGCACTTCCGCCCTCAGAGGATTCTCTGGAAACCACAGCCTCCACTTATCATCGCTGCTCTCGGGAGTCTTCCAGCTCGGGCAGTATACTTGCCTTAGCGGGGAGCCAAGGAGGACGCGGTGTCGTCTAGATTAAGCCGCTGGAAGGCGGAGTGAGGTGGGACATAGGTGGGCACAAGAGAAGAAATGAACTTATCTTCGGGGCACGGGTACTGAGAAAGAGAAAGGACAAATTAAGGCAGAGAGAAGGCCTGGGAAAAGAATGAGATCCAGCCTGGGGACCAAGGCACCCGGTTTCCACTTTCCTGTGGGCTCTGACTCACCGCGTGGCCTTGGACAGATACAGTCCCCTCGCTTCTCGGGGCCTCGGTTTTTCTATCTGTAAAGTGGAGGCGATGACAGACAGCGTCCACATCGTTGGGCGGGAGCGGGAATCACAAGTGCCAGCACATGGGAAAGCCGTTTTGTAACCTGCAAGGCTTAGGATGGAGCATCGTCATGCTTATGGTCCTAAGGAGAGGCAGCGGGTAACCGGGCGCGGTCTAGGGCAGACGCGACCGAGGCACTGGGGCGGCTGATGTGATGCGCCGGGGCCTCGCTCATCGCCTTGCTCCCTCCAGCACTTATCCCGAGCGTTCCCACCGCCCAGGCCCACCCCTTACCCTGGGGCTCGAGAAACTTTTGCCTCCGGCCTGCTCCACCCGCACTCCCTACTAATTCCCGCCTCGCTGCCGCTCGCTTACCTCCCGGCCCTGCGCGGGCGGGAGCCTCACGTCTATGGTCGACCAGCGGCTAGAGTCGCCTCCCGTGACTCCTTTTGTGCGACCGCCTCCGGCCCAGCCGCCTCTAGGACCTCGGGCATTTGGAGGCCGCTCTCTCTTCCTCTGTGAGGCTGGCGGAGTACTCTATGGTTCTGTCGATCGTTCCTCACCCCCACACCCCCTCCTGGCCTTGAGGCCCAATGAGTACCATCGAGAGTTGTGGAGCAGAGTGGCATAGCCTTCCTGGTGGGTGTGGCGGGAAGTAGATGAAACAACTCGGGGGCCGGGCGAAGCGGCGCTTCCCTGAAGAGCGAAGGGGTGAAACCATCGAGAGGGAGGGCCAGAGAGTCATGGCGGTAAGGGGAGGGCGGGGGGTGACCGATTATTCCAAACCCAGCTGCTGGAGGCGCGAGCTGGGGTGTAGAGGGGGTTCGGGAGGGGGCTTCTGGGCGACCGACAAGGACCGGGAGCGGGAAGGGCTTTGTCTGTAACCTTCCACGCATACGAATTTTGGAATTCTGGATCCTATTCTGAGCTTCAGCGGAGGTCACTGCTGTCAGTTCACCGCACTGCGTTCCAGGCGTAGAGCAAAGTGGCAGGGGGGCGGGTGAGGTGTGCTAGAAAAGATTTGACCTCCTACCCTTCGGAATCTTACAGTCTAGAATCGGGCCCTGTCACATTTTATTGGGGGTGGAATTCGAGGAATCTCCTTGGAGAAAGTAGCAGATGGGCGGGACTTCAACTGGAGAGAATGGAGGAAATTAAATGGGCTTTCCGAGTCAAGAGAACTGCTTGAGCAAGGAAGAAGGAGGTTTGTATATTTGTTCAACAGAGAGTATTAGGAGCTAAGCCATTAAAGGTAGATGGGCTCCGTATTGTGGCAGAGGAGTTTTTACCTAATTCAGGGACCTGTTGAGAGCCAGTCATTGGAGGTGTTGGAGTAG